TCCTACAGAAAAAGGAAAAAATGCTGGGGGGTGCAGTCTGTGAGCTCTCAGAGAGAAGGGACATGAGATCTGGATTCTGACAGCCGCTTCTGAGAACCACTTCGGGCTTTATGACTGAGTGTTGTTAACTTGCATAAATTGAGCATTGGTTGGGAAAAGACTAGAAATGTGCCTTTGCAGGGATGGATCTGAATGAACTGCAGTGTTAGATAAAGTTATCAAGTCTCAAGTTTAATAAAAAGACAGATGGATAAGATTCGATGTGCATCCCATTAAGCTTAAGCCATGTGTTTTGGGCAGACTTCAGTGATGTTTTTATAGGTGTGGAAATTTAGGGAGATTAAGGAAATGAACATACTATCATCAATCTGCAGGCATTTAAACCCCTGAAATCAGACGATACATTCACAACGAAGCTTTAAATCAGACAATCCATCATACTTGATATAAAATGTTCCAGCTTCCATAATTCTTTATTAAATATTTGACAAGTTGCATCACTTATTTACAACGACTTCATTTTGTCACATTACTCTTTTGCTGTCAGGAAAACAATCTACAATTTCTCATTAGGTCTCTCAAGAAAAATGAAAAGCCAAAAGGATTTGTTCTCAAACAAAACTTTTCCTGTGTGTATCAAATTCAACCACATTTTAAAGCTACTCTGATTGTGAAAATGAACACGGTCTGTAAGTTGTCTTTAAAAAATTTCAAAGTAGTTTGGTTTTTAATCACGGTATCAAATAGTACTTGGCTTTATAGTAGGAGGTGGGTTTATAATAAAAAATTATAAAACATTGAGAATTCATTTGGAATGCTTGAAACTCTTTTCACCTTAAAAGTCACTCTGTTTATTCATGTTTCATTTGCTAATAGATCCTGAATTAAGAAGTGACAGCATATTGACACCATCTTCTGGGGGTTCTCTCAGGTTCCGAGGGTCCGAATTCTCAGGATACAGCTTGGAGGGACTAGGTTCTCACTCCCTTTCAAAATCAGATTACTCAAGAAAGGTGTAAAAATGCTATACAAATATATACAGATATATTTGGACAGCACATGTACGTATATATGTATATACATATTACATACATAGTAGTAGAGAAAGAACAAAGTTACACAAAGTTGTTAACATGAAAGAAACCGTGACAATCTAGGTGAGATTAGTCTGAGTAGGAGGGGCCAAGTGGCTTCTACAGGAACATGGATGTCTATAGACTCGGGGTCATGGTCATGAGAAAGGCTTTGATGCGCTGATACCAGGTTGAGAATGCAGTACACAGAGGTCTGTGGCCAATGTCATTAGATTCCTACTGTTACTCCTTACAAACAGACCGACCAACAGAAGACATGCATTTTAAACCAGCGTTGCTTGGTGCCTAACACCGTTAACGAAGGACAGATGTCTCAGAAAACCTCGCACCAACAGAAACTCTCCTTTTCTACAAAACATTAATTACGCGAGCTCACGTCTCAACGTGACGGTGTTTTCCGACACACTGAAGACACTCTGGGGGTGGGGTGGGTGCGTATGCGCGGGTATATACACCGTTCATTAAGGCTTAGATAAATTAAAAAAAAAAGTGGTCCGAAGTATATCACATTTTCTTCCCAGGTTTAAAATCGAGAGTACAAAGTGGGGTTTAAAAGGATATTTAAAAACACATCTCAGACCTGAAATTGGCAGTTTTGACGGATCAGAATGTACCCCACAGCCTGAATAAGACAGAGGTAGTGCATGACCTCCTGGGGATCAGGAAGAAAGCAGACAGGGCAGTTACCCTGCACAGCAGCACCTTCTACTGGCAAGGCAGAAAATGATACCAGACAGCATGTCCCTTCCCCTCCCTGTACGGACAGGGGTGCAGAGTCAAGGTCAGGAGGAAATTGGCAAAGAAAGAGGACAGCTAGCACACACAGTGGGTAGGGGCTCAGGAACTGATCGATCCAGGCTCTCTTTATAGGTGGTAAAATTTCAGAGAGACAAGACTTAGGAAAATACTAGTCAAATGCTCGACAATTAGTTAACTGTTAGAAAAATTAGTAATTTGCTGCATATGAACTTGGCTTTCAAGAGAGCCATTTGGATCTGGCAAGATCAAAGATCAGTGGTACCTGTTGTCTATTTTAACAATGTGAGATGCAGAAAGTGGTTCGAATATTTTGCTAACCATTTCTCAGAATCTGTCACTGCATCCTTACGTGGGAGAAAGAATCCATATCAGATCGCTTTATAGCATTTGTCATCTGACCTTAGGGAATACCTAATGTTAGCTACCGAAGGGCCATGGAAACGAAAATCAAAGAAGCATGTTATATTCTGGTGATGTGGTAGAGGACTGGCTACAGAATAATGAAATAATGAAAAATGTTTTGGGAGACAAAAGAGAGAAGAGCATGAAGCTGAATATAACAGCCAAGCAAACACCTCGCCGCTTCCTGTCCCAGAGGCAAAAGGTAGAAAAAACAGCGCACCAGCCAACGTCAACCCCACTAGGCAGATGATCCAGATTTACCTTTAGGCCACCAAGAGGCAAGAAGAGAAATATCCAGGACCCAGAGACTGCTGTGATGACTGACGTCAAAGGACCTTCCACATGCAGTCTGTAAACTCCGGAATTCCTTAATCTCATGGCAAATTGGCCCATAACAACTATACTTTCTTCTGGGAACTAAATAAAACAAAACTGGATTCAAGTAAATTCTAAGAAAACAGAGGCCCCAGAGACCCTAGACTTCAAAACAGCATCACTGCTAAGGACCAGTAGAAAAAGTGACATAGCCTCTGCCCCCAGGCCTGTTGACCAGAGTCACTGGAGGCCCAAGGAATGACTGACCAGCCTGCTCTTTATGTGGCACATTTTCTTTACTGCCATCTGTCGTTATGTCCTGAAGATGATGGAAAGTGGTCATCAGGATTTAGAGAAAATAAGATCTATGACTATTTTCAACCAAGATTGAAACACCGAGACTTGCTGAGAACTAGGGAAACTTACATGGATTAAAAAACAAAAACAAACCCCAAACCCAGCACTATCCAGCTGTCACTGAAATCAGATATTAGTGAATAGATGAACTGAACTGTCATTCACAATTACTGCTTTTCAAGTATTCATAGGGGTATATTTTGATAATTCTCATCTGTTCCCGGCATAGAAATTATCCTAGATTGGTTTTTCATATTTTCAATATGTTGCCTAATTTGCATTCAACAAATATTCTGCTTTTGAATATACAATTTTAAAATGACAGAAGGACCCTGGTTTTTACACTAGAATCACTGGATTTTGCCCCCTACCGTCACATGATCACTCTCAGAACCTGTGCAAGGATGCTGCTCACCCAGGCTGTAGCATGAGTCTTAAAAAGCAAGCTGGCCCTGGCCTAGCAGGGGCTGCGACGAGGTGAGCTTTGCCACTGAGACATCTGTTATATTGACTGAAGAGAGAAAAAAATCCCACCAAAAGATAAAAATAATGGGCAATACTGTTTTTTTTTTTCCCTAATTACTCAACATCTAAGTTTTCTGATCATTATTATTTTAAAATCAATAAGAAAAGGAAGCCAATCCTTAGCTCTGTAGAAACTCACCTTCTTCTAGACACCTCGGCACCCCCTTGGACAACCCATTTATAACCACAAACATTCACGGCTTCTGACAAGCCACCAAAATGGAATTTCTTACACCAAAAGGTCCTTCTTCCATAACAAACACAGGGCCCGAAACCACTATTTTTGTCTTATTTATGACTGGCAAGAGATCAAATCTCTAGTGTCCCCTGACAGCTATGACAGGGTCTAGGACAACACAGGTTACAAAAGACAGGAGGGTTGCTGAACCCCCACACTGCCTCAGGCGCTCTCTCAAAACACGGAGAATTACAAGTGGCAAAGAATCGAACGGAGCTGACGCCCTCCATCCCCTGCCCTGGCCAGGTGAGCTGCCTGACGGCAGCGGGTCGAATCGAGTCCGCCCCCTCGCTCTTAGCCTAGCACACGACACATGACTCAGGCGACACATAGTACTGAAGCATGCAACATGTCACAGGTAACAAAACCGGTTCGGTTAAGTGCATATTAAATTCATCTTTGAGGAGAAATCGCAAAACGATCGGTGAGAACAGGTCTGTCGGCTCAGCTTTACAGCCAGGTTTCAGACACCAGCAGCCAGGTTCGCTATCGATAGGTATTGCACCAGAAAGATGGTGCAGGGAGAAGAAATAATCATCACATTTAAAGTCTATGATAAAACAAAACAAAACAAAACATCAACAACACCAGGTATGACCTCCATGGAGTACATAAAGTGCCTTCAGAATTGGTGCAGTTAGAACAGAAATTGGTTATTTAGCTATCAGCGAATGCGTACAAATAGGAGACTAAAGAGATCTGGTTTCCACAGTTTCAAATCAAGCAGTGCCAAGTTTCATTCAAATGCCTCTACTATGAACAGCAAAGAGGAAACTATAATAAAAGGGTGACTGTACAGCATTGGAAAGGGTTAAGCAATTTCTCTTATGAGAAATGGTAGTCCAACCCCGTCTCGAGTGTTACAGCACACGTAATTACCTCTAAGCAATAATGGTGTGATTCCTTCAAATCAACACAAAATTTGTCATGCTATGGTACAATTCTCCCAGCCTATAGCTATTATGCTGAATTTGTACCCCCCCAAAAAAAAAAAAAAAAAAAAAAAAACAAATACCACGTTTTTTTTCATTT